CCTTCCTTCCTTCTTTCCTTCCTTCCTTCTTTCCTTCCTTCCTTTCTCTCTTTCTTTCCTCATTCACCTCCTTTAGAACAGACAGGGTCTCTCTACACAGCCCTGCCTGGCCTTGAACTTGAACTTGCTAGGTAGACCAAGAGGCCTCAAACTCATACAGATCTTCCTGCTTCTGCCTCCTTAGTATTGGGATTAAAGGCATGTGCCACCAGGTGCCCCCATCCCCCAAAGACTGGAATAATTCTTCCTTCACAGTAATAAGACATATAGCTTTTAATTGCTCTAATTATTTATTTAAAAAATTTCAGACAGGGTTTCATAGCCAAAGCTGGCCTAGAACTTCTTCCTTGGCCTTTTGCTCTTCCTTTAACTCCTTGGTGCTAATATTATAGGCATGTGCCACCACACCTTATTTGTACAGCTCTGAGGATGGGACTTGGGGATCGCTGCACATCTGGCAACAGTCTACAAACTGAGCTAGAACCCCAGACCCAAAGCGTCTAGTTTTTTTTGTTTTGTTTTGTTTTGAGACAGGGTTTCTCTGTGTAGCCCTAGTTGTACTGGAACTCACGCTGTAGACCAGGCTGGCCTCGAACTCATGGAGATCCAACAGCCTCAGTGCTCTGAGTGCTGGGATTGAAGGTGTGTGCCACCACCACTTGCTGTATCTAGCATTTTAATGTAACCTCTGCTCCTTTTCCACACAGCGCTGATTCCCTGTCACCACCCTCAGCCGTTCATCTACGAGGATCTTCAACATATTCTAAAGTATGGAGGTAGCTTGAGGTAGGTACTCGTAAGTCCATGACACCATTCGGTCTGACCCATCAGACTTAGCACAGAGCATCCTCGGCTCTATGGCATGAGCATCACAACCCCTATACTGCGGAAGCACTCTCTGCTCTCGCTCACGCCTGTTTCTCTGTAATCTTTTGCCCCCTCTGATTCTTAGCCAGCCTTCAAAGATCAACTCAAGCCAACCTTCTCAGTCAGCTTCATCACAAAGCCACAATCCTCACAATGTGTCACCTACCACTGCCCGGCACCCAGGCCCCTCTTCCTGGTGCCTCAGATTATTTCAGGACTCTCTGAGGGCAGCAGGGGGCCATTCTCTGTGCCTTTGCTACCCTCTTCCCGAGTCTAGCTTAATTAAATGCTCAGCATAAGCATCCCCCCACCTCAACCCCGAGACAGGGTTTCTCAGCGTAGCCCTGGCCATTCTGGAAATCACTCTTTAGACCAGGCTGGCCTCTAATTTAGAAATCCACCTGCCTCTACTTCCTGATGCTGGGATTAAACACAAGCAGATTCTTAAACTATACTTCACAACTCCCAGTCACAAAAGTGAAAGCATAAGTCATTAAAAACTTAGCAACAGGACAAAAACACACCACAGCAAGATAAAACAAACAAACAAAACAAAAAGACATAGCAACAAAGGTTTCTGAACATACAATAACCCATCATTATGTCCAAATCAAGCGTGTAATGGCTTCAAAGCGTGCTTCACTGCAGCCTTGGCTCTGAACAGATGGCACACACTTCTGTGTGCTGTTACACCTGCAATGCTCCTGCATGCTGGTAACAGCACTTCCTTTAATCCCAGCACTTGGGAGGCAGAGGCCAGCCTGGTCTACAGAACAAGTTCCAGAAAAGGTTCCAAAGGTACACAGAGAATGTAACATGAGGGCCTGCTTGTTGGGGTTTCTGTCTTGCCCAGTTCCCTCAGCCGTTTAGCCCCAAAGAAATCACACAGAGAATGCATTAGCTATAAAATGATTGGCCCATTACCTCAGGCTTCTTAATAACTCTTACAACTTATATTAGCCCATTATCCTAATATATAGTAGCCACATGGCTCGGTACCTTTTTCAGCGGGGCAGGTCACATCTTGCTTCTTCGGTGTCTGGACAGGACTGCAGAAAGAGCTTCCTTCTTCCCAGAATACTCCTGTTCTCATTGCCCCGCCTCTACTTCCTGTCTGGTTATTGGTCAATCAGTGTTTATTTAAAACATAATTGACAGAATATAGAATTGTCCCACACCATTTCCCCCTCTTTTTTTTTTTAAACAAAGTAAAATATCCATAGTCCGTTTTTTTGGGAATGTGGGTATAGTCCCGCACCAAGAGAAATCTTGTCTCAAAAAACAAAAAACAAAATAAAACAAAGAGTGTTGTTTGTTCTTTCGGACATGAGATGTCCCTGGTGGTCTAGTGGCTAGGATTTCGCACTTTCAGAGGACCTGGAGTGCAAGCCCTCCCCACCCCCAATCACAGGTGACTTACAATCTTCTGTAATTCTAGTTCCCAGGGGATCCAGTGCCTTCTGTGGGCATTATATGCACATGGTGTATAACATACAATCAGACCAAACACCCATACACATAAAATAATATTAAAAGGTTAAAAAACCCACATACACAGAAAAAAAATCCATCAACTCTGAGAAAGACTGAAGATACACTTAGCAAACATCAGTGAAGACAATTACTTTTGTGAAAACAAACAAATACATCTCTCTTATGAATATGTAAATTTGCTTTAATTCATGGTGGGATGTCATGGTGTATCGTCTTTTATATGAGGGGTTTATTTCAGGTGTCTTCTCTATTTTTCCACTGATTTGAGGGGATCGGTAGTCCTAGCTGGCCTGGAACTTGCAACATAGACTAGGCTGACTTCTCAGAAATCCACGTGCTACTCTGCCTGGCTCACCTTAATTTTAAAAATTATATTTATTATTTAGTGTGTATGTGTGAAGAGGGGATAGTGTTCATGCCATCGCACATGTGTGGAAGGGGATAGTGTTTATGCCATCACACATGTGTGGAGGGGATAGTGTTCATGCCATCGCACATGTGTGTAGAGGGGATAGTGTTCATGCCATCACACATGTGTGGAAGGGGATAGTGTTCAGGCCATCACACATGTGTGTGGAGGAGATAGTGTTCATGCCATTATGCATGTGTGGAGGGGATAGTGTTCATGCCATCACACATGTGTGGACGGGGATAGTGTTCATGCCATTATACATGTGAGTAGAGGGGATAGTATTCATGCCATCACACACGTGTGGAGGGGATAGTATTCATGCCATCACACACGTGTGGAGGGGATAGTGTTCATGCCATCACACACGTGTGGAAGGGATAGTGTTCATGTCATCACACATGTGTCAAAGTCAAAGGACAATAACTAAGAATCAGTTTTCTCCCCAGGCGGTGGTGGTGCACGCCTTTAATCCCAGCACTTGGGAGGCAGATGCAGGCAGATCTCTGTGAGTTCGAGGCCAGCCTGGTCTACAAGAGCTCCAAAAGCTACAGAGAAACCCTGTTTCAAAAAACAAAAACAAAACAAAAAAATCAGTTTCTCCTTCCACGATGTGGGCCTCAGGAATTGAACTCAGATCATCAGGCTTGGCAGCAATGCCTTTACCCACTGATCCATTTTGTTAGCTCTCTACCCTACTTTTGTTCTTTAAGGCAGGGTCTCACTAAACCTGGAACTCCATATTTCCGTTGAATTGACTGTTGAGTGATCTCCAAGGGTTCATCTACCTCTGCTGCCTCCCAGCACTGGGGTTACAGATTTGAATAGCCATGCCTGACTCTGAGGTGGGAACTGGGCTATTAATTCAAGTTTTCATACTTGTGTAGAAAGCATACCAGCTGAACCATCTCCCCAGCTCTGCTTTTGTCTTTAATAAATGGTAAACGTTACATGCACACCAAATAACCAAATAGCTGTTCTAAAATAATAGTATTTATGATTCATTTTCAGTAAATGTTTTAGTTGTATACCTGTTTTCAGATTTATTTATTTGGTTTTTCGAGACAGGGTTTCTCTGCATAGCCCTAGCTGTCCTGGAACTTGCTCTATGGACCAGGCTGTCCTTGAACTAACAGAGACACCCCCTGCCTCCCAAGTGCTGGGGTTAAAAGAATGTGACACCATCTCCCAGTTTAAGATTTATTTTTTGAACTGGGTGGTGGTGGCTCATACCTTTAATCTCAGTACTTGGGAGGCAGAGGCGGGGGAATCTCTAAATTTGAGTTAGAGGCCAGCCTGGTCTACAGAGCGAGTTCTGGGAAAGCCAGGGCGACACAGAGAAACCCTGTCTTGAAAACAAAGCAAAATAAAACAAAGCAAAAAAACAAAGAAAATTTGGATGTTTGTGTAATGCCATTTGTGTGCAGTTTTGTGGAGGTGGCCTTGGTGGTGGGAGTAGAACTTGGGGCCTCTACAAGAGCAGCAAGCTCTCTTAACTGCTGAGCCAGGTCTCCAGTCCCTGTAATACCTATTTTATAACCAATATATCTGGAAAAATTTTTTCCTTTAACAAAAAGAGTCACAAATGGAAAATGTTTAAGAAGCCTTGTCGTAAAGGTCAAGGTCAGAGGTCAAGGTCAGCCTGGACTTCAAAGCTAGCTAGATTCTGGCTTAACTTGTTTTTAGTCGCAAAGAAACAGATCTCAAAGTTGGGCAAGGTCAGCCTGGTCTGCATAGGGAGTTCCAGGACAGCCAGGGATATGTAGAGAGATGCTGTATCAAACAACAGCAAAACCAAAGAAGCAGATCTCACCTTTGACCCCTTCATCTGGAATTCATGCCGCCTCTGTTGCCTCCTGCCTCTTCCTGCTTATTGATTTTTCCTTGTTAGGAGCAAAGGGACACGTGAAACAGAGATTTGCTGGCTCCAAATCCCTGAGGAGCCCTGGTCCTATCCTAGTGTCTCAAAAGACCTGGCTTTCACCATACCAGGAGACAGACCCAGTGACCAGGGAGGTACAGAAAGTCACGTGGTCTCCAGCAGAGGGCTCTGGGGGAGGCGATGTTAGGGGTTCTTTTGGCTTCTGTCCTTTGGTAGGGCAGGAGTTAACGGGGTTGCAACATCTTTCGGGGCTGAGTCACCTCCCACTGCTCTCCTCAGTAGAAGGTTTATAAAGAGGACCAGAGGCTGACAGAGAAGACCTGGAGGTAAGAGTCCCCTGCCTAGCCCCCGCTCCTCCAGGCTCCCAGAAGTCTCAGGTCAGAGGGCCCAGGCAGCCTCTGGAGCTCTTGTCTGCTGGCACCATGGACTGGCAACAGTTGTGGCTCAGCTTCCTACTTGCCCTGACAGTCTCAGGCCGGGCTCTGGGGCCAACAGAGAAGGAGGCGGTCTTGGTGAGTCCTCCAGCCATGGGAATGACAGGGATTACCCAGCTATAGTCTTTTCTAGGTATCCCTCTTGTCCTACAAGTTACCTGCCTCTCCGTATCCTGATCTTCGTTACCCACCTCCTTCTCTTCCCTGTTCCATCTGAGGCCCCTCAGCATTCTTCTCTATCTGTCCCTTTCTCTCCTGATGGGTCTGTTAGGTCATTTGAATTGTTTGTTTAAGACAGGGTCCACTAAGGAGCCCTGCCTGGTCTGGAACTCACTATGTAGACCAGGCTGGCCTTGAACTCACAGATATCTGCTTGCTTCTGCTTCCCGAGTGCTGGTATTAAAGGCATGCGCCACCATGCTCAGCTTCTGTTAAGTCACTGGGAAGCTTTACCTTGAGACTAACCTTCTTTCAACGTCTATGCCATTATAGGATTATCTGTTGCAGTATGGATATCTACAGAAACCTCTAGAAGGAGCTATGACTTCAGTCTAGAAGATATCACAGAGGCCCTAAGGTGAGGCTCTAAGGTCACGAAGTGTGTCAAGTTCTCCCCTCTCCCCAGGCCCACCTCTGCTGGACCCGAATCCACAGCAGGGATCTGTAGGATGCTAATGTTACTCAGGATGGTGGAATGTGAGATGAGGTGGAGAAGCAGGATGAGGAGCCACAGGTCAGGTGTGGGGGCACAAGGCTCTGATCTCAGCGCCAGAGTGGCAAAGACAAGCATTAAAAGTTGGAGACTAGTTAGGTGTGATGGGCCATGCCTTTAGTCCCAGAATCCCAGCACTCAGGAGACAGAGACAGGCAGATCTCTGCGAGTTTGAGGCTAGCCTGGACTACATAGAGAGTTCTGGGCAAACTAGGGCTACACAGTGAGACACTACCTTAAAAAGAGAGAAGGGAAGAAGATGGCCTCTTGGAAGGTGGCTCAGCAGTGAGGAGTGCTTGCTGCTCTTCCAGAGGACCACCACCAACATCAGGAAGCTCACAATCTCCTGTGACTCCAGCTCCAGGGGAGCTGATGCCCTCTCTGGCTTCTTTGGACACCCGAACATATGTAAACATTTGCTCATATAGAAACATACAAAAGAATGAAAATCTTTCTTTTTCTTCCCCCAGAGACAGGATCCCTCTGGGTAGCCCCAGCTGTCCTGGAATTGGCTGTGTAGATCAGGCTGGCCTCGAACTCATAGAGATCGTCTTGCTTCTGCCTCCTGAGTGCTGGGATTAAAGGTATGTGCCATCACCACCCAGTTAAGACAATATATGTATATTTTGTTTTGGTTTGATTTTTGTTTGTTTGTTTTTTGAGACAGGGTTTCTCTGTAGCTTTGGAGCCTGTTCTTAAACTTGCTCTGTAGACCACGCTGGCCTCAAACTCACAGAGATTCACCTGCGTCTTCCTCCCAAGTGCTGGGATTAAAGGAATGTGCCACCACTGCCTGGCCAAGAACAAACATTTTAGCAAAAGACTGGAGGCTAGCCTGGACCACACAATGAGTCTTTGTTTTTGATTTTTATTATTATTTTTGAGCTGGATCTCACACTGAAGTTTAGATTGACTTGGAACTCCTGGCAATCTTGCTGCCTCAGCCTCTATTATGCTACAGTTACTGGTATGAGCCACCATGCTGAGCTAGGCGCCTTGTCCTTACATTTTAAAGTGATTTTTGATAATTTCATGTATATATGCACATATGTATGCATGCGTGTGTTCATATGTTCATGTGTGTGTGTGTGTTGTTTGTGTGCGTTGGTCATTTTCACCACATTACCCTCTCTCATTTCCCTTCCGTTCCTCCTAAGTCTCTTCCTCCAACAAAGTTTCTTTGTAACCCACTGAATTTAGTTAGGGTTGCTTGATTTAAAGTTTCTTATTGCATTTATTTATTTATGTGTGCACACGTCCTACGGGACATATTTGGAGATCAGAAGAGAATTTCTCTCCTCCACTTGTGGATCCTAGGGACTGAGTTTATGTAGTCAGGCTTGGCAGTAAGCCCATTACCAACTGAGCTATCGCACTGGCTCATTTTGATGTAATTTTTTTGTTTTGTTTTTGTTTTGTGGGACAGGGTTTCTCTGTGGCTTTGGAGCCTGTCCTGGAACTAGCTCTTGTAGACTAGGCTGGCCTTGAGCTCAGAGATCCATCTGCCTCTGCCTCCCGAGTGCTGGATATAATTTTTTAAAGTTTCTTTATTTTACTTATGCAAGCATGTATGTGTGCCATGTGCATGCTTGGTGCCCAAGCTGGTCAGGAGAGGGCGCCAGACCCCCCCAATCGAAATGGAGTTAAGGATGGTTGTGAACTTGGAGATGCTAGGCATTGAACCTGAGTGCTCTGAACAAATTCTCTTAGCTGCTGAGCTATCTCTCCAGCTCTGATTTTGATTTTTTGAGACAGGGTATCAAGTAGCCTAGGTCGGTCTTGAACCTACAACGTAGTGAGGATGACCTTGACCTCCTAATCCTCCTGCTTCATCCTTGAAAGTGCTGGGATCACAGGATGAGCCATCATGCATACCTAGCAAGTTCTTACCTCACAAAACAAAGCAAAACAAGGCTGGAGAGATGGCTTAGTGTTTAAGGTCACTGGCTGCTCTTGTGGAGGACCCAGGTTTGCTTCCTAGCACCCACACGGCAGCTCACAATCACCTATGACTCCAGTTCAAGGGGATCCAGTGCTCTTTTCTGGCCGGCTGAAGTGGGTAGGACCTCAGATGGCAGCACAGTAGTTGTGCAGGGCGACTCCCCAGAGGGTGGCCAGAGGGAGGAAGGCTGTACTTCAGGCCAGTCTTCCTCAAAAGATCCTGAAAATGCAGAGAAGTTGGAATGCCCTATTTCTACAGACTAGAAGACAAAGCCCCAGTTAGGAGCACTAGAGACTGGAGTGCCCTTTCAGCTTTCAAGACTTTGTGTTTGTCTTTTCTCTATCATTACTTTGGGAACCAGGTGGCCAAAGATCTATCCCCAATTTCCAGCCATTCCAGATCCACCCACCTTCCTGGACCTTTCTCTCTTTCTCTTTCTTTTCTTTTTTTGGCTTTCCGAGACAGGGCTTCTCTGTAGCTTTGGAGCCTGTCCTGGAACTAGCTCTTGTAGACCAGGCTGGCCTCGAACTCACAGAGATTCACCTGCCTCCGCCTCCCGAGTGGTGGGATTAAAGGCGTGCACCACCACCGCCCGGCTCTCTCTCTCTTTCTAGAGCTTTCCAAGAAGCATCCGACCTGCCAGTTTCGGGCCAGATGGATGATGGCACAAGGGCCCGTATGAAGCAGCCCCGCTGCGGTCTAGAGGATCCCTTCAACCAGAAGACCCTTAAATACCTGCTTCTGGGTGAGGACTGAGCCTGGGAAGGGAAGGAGAAGGCACCCTGGCTCTGAGTGTGGGTGGCATCGGGACAGCCTGAGAGTTCAATACTTACTAAGTAACTTACTAAGGAGTGCAGCGAGTACCCGCACCCTGAGAGGCTCTCCTGGTCGTGTCTCTAACTTACTTTCTGGTCCCTTAACCAGGCCGCTGGAGAAAGAAGCACTTAACGTTCCGCATCTTGAACCTGCCTTCCACACTCTCGCTCTCCAGAGCCCGGGCAGCCCTGCATCAAGCCTTTACGTACTGGAGCAGCGTGGCCCCCTTGACCTTCCGGGAGGTGAAGGCTGGTCCGGCGGATATCCGACTCTCCTTCCATGGCCGCCAAAGCCCATACTGCTCCAACACCTTTGATGGGCCTGGTAGGCACTGGTTCTTAACTCTTAACAAACCTCAGCGGTGAACCGTCTCCTTGAGCCAGTGACTCTGAGATCTTAAAGTTCAGGTTATCAGTTCTGCCCAATGATGCCCTGTACTCTGACCTCCCCAGAGATGCCGTTTCTAACCTAGCCGGGCCCTTATTAAGTTTCCTCTTCCAGTCTTACGCCCGACTTTCATTCCCCTCTGAATCCTCACCCTGAGAGGGGACTGGGTCACCGAGGTGGAAATTTTGTTTTGCGTTTCCCTGAGTTACGACTGGAAAATCCGAAAGAAGCACCTAAGCTAGCTATGGTGCTGTATCCTGCATTTTGTGTAGCCCAGATTGACATAAACCCCACTATGTAGCTGAGGCTGGTCTTGAACTTCTGATCCTCCTGTGTCCTCCTTCCAAGTGCTGTGGTTACAGATGGGTTGTCACACTTGAAAGTAGCTTGAGTATATAGCAGACAATCGATGCTCTGTTGTCGTGGGCGCTCACATTGCTGTCTGCCTTTGCCGCTCTCCAGGAAAGGTCCTGGCCCATGCCGACATTCCAGAACTTGGCAGTGTACACTTCGACAAAGATGAATTCTGGACTGAGGGGACCTACCAAGGAGTGAACCTGCGCATCATTGCAGCCCATGAAGTGGGTCATGCCTTGGGCCTTGGGCACTCCCGATACACTCAGGCACTCATGGCTCCTGTCTATGCTGGCTACCAGCCCTACTTCAAGCTGCACCCAGATGATGTGGCAGGGATCCAGGCTCTCTATGGTGAGCATGAGAGTCAGTCTGACTAATAGCTCTCTAGGCTCAAGGAGACAATACTAGCTTTCATGGAATGAAATGGCTTTTTTCCCCTTCTCTTCTTCAGTTCAGTTCTTCAAGTTATTCATCTTCAAATACTGTCTCTATTTTTGACTCTTTTAAGTCTGCTTTTCCTTCCTGGCCTTTCTCCCCGTCACATCCTAATTCTTTTGTTGTTGTTTGTTGTTTTGAGACAGGGTCTTTATTTTGTAGCTCTGGCTGTCCTGGAACTTGCTGTGTAGTCCAGGCTGAACTCAAACTCGTGGCGACCCACCTGCCTCTAGTGCTGGGATTAAAGGTGTGCGCCACCACCGCCTGGCAACCCTATTCTTGAAGATGTATATTCCAGGAAACTTCCTTCTCTGAGGCTTCTCAAAACTAAGCTGTCTCCTGTATATTGCCGACCACAGAGGGAAACACCTTAGAATTCCCCCTTCCCTTTCTCTGGGGTCACTGCGTAGAGCTTACGGTAGACTTGAGTGTTTGGACTTCTTCCCCTATGGTGCCTTACTTCACTTTGCAGGCAAGAAGAGCCCAGAGACAGAGGATGAGAAGGAAGAGATCGAGATTCCCACTGTGTCACCAGTGACCACAAAACCCAGTCCCATGCCAAACCCCTGCAGCAGTGAACTGGATGCCATGATGCTGGGTGAGGCCCTTGAACAGACTGTTGACAGGCAATGGGGCAGTCGACTGACTCCAACGCTTGGTCAGATGGGGATGACATGGAACCAAAGCAGGAGCACTGGGGGTTGGACCCCAGGAAACGGTGACCAGGGAAGATGTACAGCATGGAGAGGGAACACTGGGAGTCAAAAGAGGGCTGGGTAGCTGCAGTGGTGGTCCATGCCTTTAATTCCAATACTCAGGAGGCAGAGGCAGGTGGATCTCTGAGTGTGAGGCCAGCCTGCTCTACAGAGCCAATCCCAGTATAGCCATGACTACACAGAGAAACCTATTTTGAACCCCCCCAAAACAACAAAAACAAACAAAAAACACTCCCCCCCAAAGAGGGCTGGGTAAGCATTTACTATAGTTGCTGCCTTATAAAAATACATGTGGAGTTGGGCGGCGGTGGCGCATGCCTTTAATTCCACTTGGGAGGCAGAGGCAGGTGGATCTCTGTGAGTTTGAGGCCAGCCTGGTCTACAGAGGGAGTTTCAGGACAGCCAGGACTGTTACACAGAGAAACCCTGTCTCAAAAAAACAAAACAAAACCCAAAATCATGTGGAAACATAGCAAGATGGAATCAGCTGCAATGCCTGTTAGAGAGGGCTTTGACCTGGTGCTAAGATTTTCAAGCTACCTGGAATGGGGCATGAGGTCTCCAGAGAGGAAGAGTTGGCTGACTGGAGGGCTGTGACCAACAAAAGAGAGACTCAGGACTGTGTCTTCCTTCTCTGCCCTTTTCAAGTTGAGTGAATTTTTGACGAGCCCATCGTGGGCTAGTAAGGAAAGCACTGAGATGCTCCTGAGTCTTCATTGTCTTTTAAGGTGTCAACATGTTTCTGCTCTTAGGACCTCGCGGGAAGACCTATGCTTTCAAGGGGGACTATGTGTGGACTGTAACAGATTCAGGGCCAGGCCCTTTGTTCCGCATGTCTGCTCTTTGGGAAGGGCTCCCTGGAAACTTAGACGCTGCTGTCTACTCTCCTAGAACGGGATGGATCCATTTCTTCAAGGGTAAGTGGGGCACTTAGTCTTTACCTGAGGGCCTGGTCATTACAAAGCTGCAAATGGAGGGGGCGTTGAGACGCTTTAAAGAGGGCAAGAGAGGGATCAAAGTTCCCACCTGATGACACAGCTTGTTCTTCCTTTGACCATTCTCAGGAAACAAGGTGTGGCGATATGTGGGTTTCAAGATGTCTCCTGGATTTCCCATGAAATTCAACAGGGTAGAACCCAACCTGGATGCAGCGCTCTATTGGCCTGTTAATCAAAAGGTGTTCCTTTTTAAGGTAAAGTCAGGATAATCTCTCCTGAGAAGGGTCAGGCTACCTCATACTGAGGGGTGAAGTCTTACCCTTAAAGGGGCACCTTCTGAAGTTTGGATCAGTCTCTGGGGTCCCTAAGTTCTCTCATTCTCTTCCTCCCACCACTCCAAATTAGGGCTCAGGATACTGGCAATGGGATGAGCTGACCAGAACAGACTTCAGCCGCTACCCCAAACCAATCAAGGAATTGTTTACTGGAGTGCCGGACCAACCCTCAGCAGCGATGAGCGGGCAAGATGGCCAAGTGTACTTCTTCAAGGGCAAACAGTATTGGCAGCTTAACAAGCAGCTTCGCGTGGCAAAGGGCTATCCCAGAAACATCACGCACTGGATGCACTGCAATCCTCAGACTCCAGACACGAGCTCGTTAACTGGGGATATTACTCCCTCAACCACAGACACAATCTTGGATACCACTCCTTCAACCACGGACTCCATCTTGGACATGATTCCCTCAGCTACAGACTCTGCCACGCTTTCATCTCCCCGCTAACGTCACCCTGCGAGGGGCCTAAGACTAATCAGTGTCTGCTCATTAGGATTGTGTGGATGTTACAGCATTGGCACTAGCTATAGGCCTCATAGCCCAAATACTCTAATTCTGGACACCACTCTCTTGTGCTCCTAGAAGGTGCCCCTGAATTCTGAGTCAGTCCCCAATTCCCATTTCTCCTCACATAGCTCTTTCAAGTGTGTCATCTATTCTTTAGAAGGAATATTATCAATCAGGTGTTTTTTTTTTATTTTGTTGTTGGACAGGGTCTCTCTCTACATAACACTGGCTATGGCTATCCTGAAATACTCTGTAGACCAGGCTGGCCTTGAACTCACAGAGATTCACCTGCCTCTGCCTCCTGAGTGCTGAGATTAAAGGCATGTGCCTGGCTAGTTTTTTTTGTTTTGTTTTGTCTTTTTTTAAAAATTTGTTTTGTGTGCACTGGTGTTTTGCCTCCATGTATTTCTGTGTGAGGATGTCAGATCCTCTGGAACTGAAGTTACAGACAGTTGTAAGCTGCCATGTGGGTGCTGGGAATTGAACCCCAGTCCTGTGGAAGAGCAGTCAGTGCTCTTAACCACTGAGCCATCTCTCCAGCCCCTGTGTTTTGTTTTGTTTTTTTTTTTTTTTTAAAAAAGAATTAAGGCACGTGCTGCCATACCTGTCTGTCAGTTGGGTCTTTAGCTGACAGGAGGTAACAGCTGACGTACTGAACACCTGGGTTCTGTTCTGCCAACATCAAGTGCAAGAAACGGCACAGTCAGTAAACTGAGCAAGAGCTCTGGAGTCTTTGAGCCATCTGTGACTTTCAGCAAGTCAATTAATCTTGGGAGGCCGGGTGGTGATGGTGCATGTCTTTGTTTTTTTAAAATTTGACCAGGTGCACGCCTTTAATCTTAGCACTTGGGAGGCAGAGGCAGGCAAATCTCTGAGTTTGAGGCCAGCCTGGTCTATAAGAGCTAGTTCCAGGGCAGGCTCCAAAGCTACAGAAAAACCCTATCTCGAAAGAAACAAACAAAAAAACCTTGGAAAACCTTGGATTATCTATTAACAAAATAAGATCAATCTCAATGTTATAGGGTTGTTATGTTAGATGAAATGTTATATGTGAAATGTTAATGACAGACTGATGGAGTCTGACACATTTGTATTTAATAAAAGGCTAACTTCGTGTTTCTGAGAGCTGAGCTGTCTGGGTACATATGTGTATCATGTGTACACGTACATCATATACATAGTGTGAAAGATGATAAAGGTTCCACAGCAGATCTTTAGGGACAGACTGATCACCTTTGCTTTGCCGTGTAAAGAAAGTAAAAAGCTACAGGAGAGGTCCAGTTCCCCAGTTGAATTTTCAAAGCCACTTTATTCCCATGTTCCCTTGTTCTTCCCCCCTCTCATTACAGATTTGCTGCTGGGGGAGGGATGTGTCTTCCTTCATACTGTCTGGGAAACCAGGAAACAGACCTTGCTCAGAGAGTCAGAGGAGGGAGCGTTAGGATGGGTTAGTGGAGGCAGAAGGCACTTGACTACCGCGCAGCCCTGAAGCCCAGGCTTTTCTGAGCAAAAAGGCAAGAATTAGGCATGTGAGCCAAAGCTCTCTTCTTGGAGCAAGGAGCCAGCTCTTGGAGAGGGGAGCTGAGGCAGATTCTGTGGTATTCCCTCATTAAAGAGGGAGGAGAAAGCACCATAGAGGACTGCATTCCCCTGAGGTAGAGGGGACTCGAGACTGTGGGGTGCACTGAGAAAGGCTAACCTGAAGTCCAGTGACCCCTAAGGAGCCTGGGAGCTGGGGGTCTTAGAGCACTTCTGTGCCCTTTTCCCTACCAGAAAAAACCTGTGAAATGCCTCAGGCTCCTCGGTTTTCTACTGGTCCTACAATAAAGCCCTGTATTTTACCATAGTAAGGCACACTAGGACGTTTAAATGGATATTTGGGAATGGGTTGCAGTTCAGAGGTAGAACACTTGCCTACTCTGGACAACACTCTAAATTCCGACTCAAAACTACAGGATTTTTTTTTTTTTTTAAAGCTGTTTTGGGTAAATCTCCTTGGTTTGGAGCCAGTGTCTCTAGGGACCAGGGCACCGTGACCACTGACAGAGGTAGGTGCTGTACTCTTGCTCTCCCTCCTCTTTACAAGAATTCTCTCTGCCCGCCTTTAAAAGGGTTAGTCTGGGGATAGAGACTATCTCCAAGTCCAAGAGGTAGGGAACGCTGTGTGGGTCCCGTGGGCTCAGGCCCTATCCACTTAGCAATCTCCTGCCCTCACTCGGGAAGCGGCACCACCGGAGGCTTAGGCTCAGGTGTGGGCGGAATGAGAAGATGGACAGAGACAGTGGGACCGCAGTCAGAACCCAGGTCCAGGACAGGGCGGGGACTCTGGGTCAGACCCTAAGCTCACCCTGGCCATCACTGTATGCCCTCTGACCCATCCTCCCCAGGGTACCTCACCCTCCCGCTCACTGGAGCCAGACTGTCACCAGGGCTCTGGATATTGGGGGAAAACTGACGTCGATAGCCGCCTTCACACAGTCCCACTCCGGAAGGGTTCCGATGCCACTTCGCCTCTTGCTGATGGATCCGCAGGAGCTGGAGATGCCTTCTCTGGTGGCGCAAGACCACTGTTGGGGAGGAAGCAAGACAGATTCAAGGGCTTTTTTAGGTCCTGAATACCAAGTCCAAACAGAATTACACTCCACAGAGACCTACTTGGCCTTCCCGTTGTGGGGCTCTCAAGCCTCAGCTTCCCTTTAGTCACTAGATTTCCTCTACACTTTCCTCCTCCCCTCTCTGGGGCTCCTCTACCCTCTTGGAAGAGTCCTAACTTGCTCTCCCCGCATCTCCTGGCGAGTTTTCTTCTTACTCTACCCAGACTTTCTCTGGCTATTTCAACCCTAGCTTTCCTTCAGTACCTGTCCTGTTTGACATGGGAATGCTCCCCCATCCTCACCTCTCCATCTTTTCCCTTCCCCTCAAGTGTAGGAATCAGGGATGGCAGTAGGTTGGCTGCTTTTGTACCACAACACTAACTCACCATTGGTGTGGCTTCCACGTTCCTCAGCCATGAGTTTCCACTGGGCCAGTGTCCCAAGAGCCCCCAAGACTGGCCAGGTCCCCAGTAAGACCCAGCTATACCAGCAGAGAGGAAGCAATTCTGGAAGCGCCTGCAGGCGTTCGCTCAGCCGAGTGCCCAGTGCCAGCCCTTCCAAGAAGTAGTCAGCACAGGCCACCAGCACGGCAGCACCTAGGAGGGCTGTGCCTAGGACGGTGAATGGACGTGGCCACCGAAGTGTGAGCAGGGCTCCCAGCAGCGCCAGCCCCATCAGTCCACCGATTGGCACCCAGGCTGAACGTGGCTGGTAGATGGGCTCTGTGCCCAGTAAGGTTCCAGCACCTAGGGTCAGACCTAGCAGGAGACCAGTCAGAAAGAGCCCAACGCTGCGAACCAGCATGGTGACCAGGCCGCAGAGGAGTCCGATGCCCAGCGCGATGCCTGCGCTCACCTCCAGGCTTAACTGTGTCTCCAACACTCGCTCCTTGTGGCACAGGAGGAAGATCACCAGAGCTCCTGACAGCAGACCGGAGAGAAACATCACTGCCTTGAAGCAGCGGTAGCCTGGGAAGGGAGGCAGGAGGCATTGAGAGGCAGAAAGGGGGTCCTACAGGGATGGGTCTGCTGTGTTGGGAAAGGAACAGCTAATCAAAGGTGTAGAAGCCAGAAACAGCATACCATGGGGACCTCCAGGCAAGGGAAAGAGAAGGACTAGCCCAGTGTTAAATAAGGACACTCAGAAGCGGAGGGGATAGGTGGAGAAAGCAGGAGATGGAATGGACGCATTGTGGAGAGAAAAAAGGACAATGTCCAAATCACCACAGACTGATTCAGATTCTGAGGAGAGTTGAAACCTCTGGTGGGGAGGACAACTGGGAATGGAATTTTGAGGTAGAAGATGAAAGAAAGGCAGAGAATAGAGATGAGAGCAGGGGCAAGCAGAAGGACGAGAGGCTGGGAGGGGCGGTACGAAAAACTCTGAGGAGGCGAAGTGGCCGGAACAAGGCAGAAAGTTGGCATCATTCTTGAGGACCACAGTCTTAGGCAGCTGCCCCCCAGGCCCTGCCCTCACCAAAGCAGCAGTAGATGATCCCAAAGCAGCAGCACAGCGCGCACACAAGAGCAGGCGCCAGTTCAAGGCCGTCCTGGGGTTCCAAGACACATCTCAGGTCTGGAGGCTCGGGGAGTTGTTGATTGAAGGGTCTTGGGTCAGATGTTACGGTCAGGGGCAACAAGGCTTTCTCCATGGTAGAAGGGAAGATGGTCCCAGAGCGGAAGGTCAGCTTCTCTCATCCACCCATAACTATCGGACAGGGGGTGGTAAACCTGGAAGAGAACAGAAACCATGACTTGAGGATTCCGTACCTCCATTTCTTTGGAAAAGTGACCTGTCCAACTAAAAAGCAACTCCCTCATCTGCACTTGGGATGCAATACCAACCCCCTGCTGCATCGGACAGGGCAGGGTTAATAAAACAGGGAGAGGAAGGAAGAGAGAGAATGAGTCATCTTAGGGTCTCAGGACTACAGCTCACCACTCCAGGGCTGGGGAGAGCTGCTTACACCCCCAGCTTCATCCCAGCTCAAAGGTCCTAGACACAGGGTGGCCATTGGCTGTAGGCACCCCCCCAATCCCAGCCACTGTGCTTGTTGCTCCCTAAACTGTAAGTTGGAGCCCAAACCTTGTGAGCTAAATGCAACCCCCAAGGAAGCAAGGGAATAGAAAGTTAAGAGTTTCAGACAAGTAATTAAGAGTCACCCAGTTACCCTGTCAAGATTTTGAAGTCTTGGCTTTATGCCGAAATGGAGTTGGGGGAAAGCCGAACACAGCCAGTCCAAATCCCATGGCCCTACATGGAATAAGCAGGCGCCTGGCTCACCGACATCGCCCAACCTGGTATCCACTTGCTACCCGCCTCATACACACATTAGAATTGTTCCACCCACCCTCTCACCCTGGCATGCCCGGGCTGCCAATGGGATTTGAATTCTGATCCTGAGGAATCACTGAGGAGAGGCTGGCATTGGCAAGCTCCCTGTGGGAGCAGGGTGATGCGGGTAAACTTTCCCTTTTGCTGTCTTTTGGATATTGAAGTCCTAGGCCAAGGGCTGGACTGGAGAACTCGTGGGGCTCTTCTCAATCGCTTAAGAGTCTGGGACCCTAAACAAGGAGAGGTTAGGGAGGGGGTTCACTACTCACCACCCTCCAGGGTTGAGGAGAGCAAAGGGTGGAACTGCTTAGACCTCCAGCTTCATCCCAGCCCCAGGTCCTAGGCGTAGGGGTGGCTGTTGGCCACAGGCATCCCCCCAGGTCCCCTGTGCTCGGTGCTCCCTAAATGCAAGTCCGAACCAAACCCTGTGAGCTAAATGCAAGTAGCTTGGGGGTAGGGGTGTGTGTGTGTGGAGGAAAGAGACAGGGTGTGTGTTGGGGGGGGGGGAGATGACATCACGGGGCGGGCCCCCTCAGACCTCCCCTGTGTGTGGGGGAACCCAGGCTACCTACCTCCCTAATCCAGGACCAGGGACGCACCCCTACCGAAGCAATGATGAGTTTTGGGACTCCCACCAAGACTAAGATAGAAGGTGTCTGAATGCTGAGGAGATTAATCGACAACTTGACGTTTTCAAAGTCCCAATGGGGTCCCATTCCACCCCCAAGTCCAGCTTGGTTTCTCCCACTTCCCAGAGAATTGGAGTATTGTCTTCTGGAGGACCGGGTGGTCGGATCCGGGATGCGGGGAAAGGTTTTTTTTAAACCAGTGCTGGTGGGGGTGTTCATGGGTGAAAAAAACTTGCGGAGCAAGACGGGCCCGGCAGGGACAATGACAGAACTGTAAGGCTTCAGGAGTGTGTGTAGAGGATCCACAAGGGTCTGAGTAGGGGTGGGGGCGCGAGCGGGCATCGACCCAAAGCTTACTATGTAAATGAGATGCAAAGCAGCATGCAGAGGAGCGCGGGGTTCTGAGCTCGGCGCGGAGCCCCAGGCGGCACTCCCTGGCCCGGCCCGTGCGCCGCGTCCACAGGGGGTGGATCAACGGCATGGGAGCTTGCGTGTAGTCAAGGGGCGAGCCAGTCCGGAACGCACACTTTGCTTCCTCCCTGGCCGGGTCTGGGCGCGCAGAGGGCGCTGACTCCCTCGCGAACTCTGGCTGTCTGCAAGCCACAGACTATGTGTGCACCGGCGGCCGCCCTTCATCTTCCAGTTTCAGCAGTGACAAGGAACACAGCCGCAGGCCTCAGCGGACCTCGGCTGCTCACTTGCCGCCGCGCGACCCGTGTGGCCCGCAAGGCGGCCGAGGGCACTTTAAGAGGCGGGGTCAGGGCGCTCTAGCGCCGCCGCCTCGATTGACTCCGCGCCGGCTCGCGCCCCCGCCAACCGCTCTTCTCTTTCCTTCCCGTCTTTTCTCGGGTGACCCCGGAAGTGGAAGTCGGCGGCCGCGGCGGGGACGGAAGGCGGAAGCGGAGCGGGAGGCGGAGCCGGGGGAGCTGCTCTCGTAGCTCCCCCTGGCCTCAGGCGCAGCTGCTCGAGGGGGAGGAGTTACCGCCGCGGTTCGGTACGTCGCCTTTGCCCCTGGACCCAGTCGGTGGGTTCTCGGGTGGTCTTTTGCTGGAGCACCTTTTAAGCTCCGCCCTGAGCTTTTCCTCCTAATCTGTACTGTCCCTACCCTTTTCTGACAGATTGCGGCCTCTCTCTTTAAGGCAGTCTTTTTTCTAAGAGTAATCCCCCCCTGACCACACCCTTTGCGGTAACCCCCCACCCCCCACGCCCAGTTCCCATATTGAAGAGTTTAGCTTCCTGGGAAGAAAAATTAAAATTTCGGGGGTAAGGGTGTTCCTGAGGTCGAGGTTTGGTGCAAGCAGGTTTGTGGTCAGCCTGATTCAGGTTGATTGTCAGGGTTAGCAATGCCCCCAAAGAATTTGAATTTACGCGGTAGGGGGAGCGGGTACAATGTTTAACTTTGTCTCTTGGTTCTATTTTTGACCATTCCCAACTTTGATAACTTTGTTACAGGCAATAGAACTTACCATGATGGCTGTGACCTAAAATCCTCAGGAAGCCACGGGGTCATGGCCCAGAAGCACCCCGGAAAAGGAGGGTTGTGTGGAGCCCATCACAGCGGTGGTACCTCCCTCAGGACATCAGGACCTTCTGTGGACCCTGAAATACTTTCATTCTCAGGACTCAGGAACTCAGCAGAGACTGCTCCGAATGGTACACACTGCTTCACAGAGCACTCTGGTCCTAAGTACACACAGCCCCCAAACCCAGCCCACTGGTCGGATCCAAGCCATGGTCCTCCGAGGGGTCCAGGGCCACCTGGGGAAGGAGGGTCCTCCGATGACAGCGAGGCGTCTTCGGAAGAGTCAGGAGTGGACCAGGAGCTCTCAAGAGAGAACGAGACTGGGTACCAGGAGGATGGGAGCCCTTCCTTTCTTTCCATTCCACCTGCTTGTAACTGCCAGGGAAGCCCTGGAGTTCCCGAAGGGACCTACTCTGAGGATGGCGATGGCCCTTCTAGCAGCTTCTGCCATCATTGCACCTCTCCAGCTTTGGGGGAAGATGAAGAGTTAGAAGAGGATGACGAGGAGGAACCTCTTAAATTTCCCAGTGACTTTCCACGTGTGTCCAGTGGAAAGAAACCCCCGTCCCGGAAACAGAGACACCGTTTTTTGACCAAGGAGGATACTCGGGATAGTGGACGCCGAGATCCCAGGTCCCCTGGTCGTCATCGGCTGGGCCGAAAACGAAATCAGGCAGATAAGCGCAGAGGCCTGGGGCTCTGGGGAGTGGAGGAACTGTGTCAGCTTGGACAAGCGGGCTTCTGGTGGCTGATTGAACTTCTGGTGTTGGTGGGAGAGTACGTGGAAACTTGTGGCCATCTCATTTATGCGTGCAGGCAGCTGAAAGGCAGTGATCTGGACCTTTTTCGAGTTTGGGTGGGAGCCTGGGCAGGGAGATTGGGAGACTGGGCCCAGGTGGTGGTCCAGTTTCTAAGCCAGAGCTTTTACTGTGCAACAGGGCTAGTCACCCGTTTTCTTAGGCTAGTGGGTGCTTTCCTACTCGTGGCTCTTGCCCTCTTTTTGGGTTGTCTACAGCTGGGCTGGCGCTTTTTGGTGGGACTGGGTGACCGGTTAGGCTGGAGGGATAAGACCACCTGGCTGTTCTCTTGGCTGGATTCTCCAGCCTTGCGTCGTGGCTTGACTCTGCTGCGTGATAGCAGGCTGTGGCAGCAGCTGGTCAGATTAGTTCAGTGGAACTGGCTGGAGTTGCTTTGGGTCAGGCAGAGGACTAACAAGCAAGGTAATGCACCTGCCGCTAGTGGGCGCTGCTGCCAGCCAGAAGAGGAAGTAGCCAGACTTTTGACCCTGGCTGGGGTTCCTGAGGATGAACTAAACCCTTTTCATGTGCTGGGGGTTGAAGCTACAGCGTCAGATATTGAACTAAAGAAGGCCTATAGGCAGCTAGCAGTGATGGTGAGTATCCTTTGCTTCTTGTTCCTCCTTTGTGTTTTCTGTTCCAGCTTTACTGAAGCTGAAGGATTGCATTCCTTTGTTTTGTTTTGAGGCAGAGTTTCACTATGTAGACAGGCTCACCTAGACTCACGATTCTCCTGCCTTCACTCTGAATGCTGTGGTTTACAGACGCTTGCCACTACTCCTAGCTAAGCGAAGGGAGACATTCTTAGGAAAGAGTCATGGACGGCTCTGACTAGGGAGCTTACTTTCTCTCCATTTAAAGTCTTTTTGTCTTGAGGTTTATTTTGGGGGGGGGGGAACGGGGTCATATAACAGACAGGGTTGAACTCACTCACTTTGCAATAGCTAAATGAAATTCTTTACTTAGGATAGGGAGGAGGCCCAGCCAGGCAGTATCTCAGTTGCTCTCACCTAAACAAAGGAATTTTTGTTTTGTTGTTTGGGGTAGGGTATTGCTGTGTAGCTTCAGCTAACTGGATTTGTGGCTATTTTCCTGCCTTTGCTAGTGAAGTACTGGGATTTTAAGTGTGCATCACCATGAATGGTAAAGGAGGAATTTAAAGAATTTTTTAAATTATTTATTTATTTTTGGAGACAGGATTTCTTATGTAGTCTTGGCTGTCCTGGAACTGGCTCTGTAGATCTCAAACTCAGGCTGACTTCAAACACACAGAGACCCACCTGCTTCTGCCTCCTTAGGATTAAAGGCCTGTGCCACCAACACCTGGCTAGAAATTATCTTTTTAGATGTATTTTATGTGTATGAGTGTTTTTCTCCATGTATGCATGTGTACCACGTGGGAACTGGTACCCGAGGAAATGAAGAGTGTGGATCCCCTGTAGCTGGAGTGGGTGATGGTTGTGAGCTACCATGTGGGAACTGGGACTGAACCTGGGTCCTCTACAAGAATACCAAGTATTTTAGCTACTGATCCGACTCTCCAGCCTCAACAGGAGATTTTAAACATGGAGAAAACCAGCCTTTCCTAGAGAGGCCAGTGTGGCCCTCGTGTGAGAGTGTTCAGGTTGTGCATGTCAGTGGTTATTCCAGGACCAGGAAAACGAAAACTGCTTCTTTTTTCTCGCGAGATTGAGGGTGGCGTCCAGGACCTGTGCGTGCTGGGCAAGTGCTGTCCCATTGCTGCACATGGATCCCAACTAAGACCCAGGGTAGCATGGTTAATAAAAATCCAGAGACAAGCTGGACGGTGGTGGCACACGCCTTTAATCCCAGCACTCGGGAAGCAGAGGTAGGCGGATCTCTGTGAGTTCGAGGCCAGCATGGTCTACAAGAGCTAGTTCCAGGACAGGCTCCAAAGCCACAGAGAACCCCTGTCTCAAAAACCAAAAAAAAAAAAAAAATCCAGAGACAGAAATTGGGGTTCAACCTGAAGGTCAGAAAAACAAAACAGCCAGCCACTGACTCTTACCTCTACCTCAGTCCGAAATGGCGATCCTGCCTCCAGGAATCTCAGAATGAGACTGTTTGAGAGCTAGTTCCTCCCGTTTTATAATCCTCTCTAGTTCTGGGATTAAAGGTGTGTGCACCACTGCCTGTGTGTAAGGCTGATCAGAGCGGTTGTTTTAGTCTCCGAACTCCAGGCAAGCTTTATTTATTAAAATACAAATGAAATATCACTATAACCCAGAATATGAAAGGGAAGGAAAAAAGGAGCGTGAGTCCTAAGAGAGACATGTATGTCACATATGTGCATGAAGACATGTTGCTTTTGTTAACTAGGTGGTGGGAGTTTTGATGTGCTGTATACTTGAGAGAAATGAGGTTTTTTTTTGCGGTGCTGGGGGTCAAACCCAGAGCCTTGCTCATTCTAGCATGCACTCTGCACCGAGCTGGAGCCCCACCCTGAGACTGCTGTTTCTGTACAACTAAAACTGTGTTGTAAATATAAGTCATGTGTGTCAGCCTGCACCTGAGGCTGACGTGACTGCATGTATGGGCCTGGATTGGCAACATATTGCAATATGCAAATTACCACAGTGGCTTATGATAAAGTGGAATGGGCACCCGAGATTTTCCTTGACAACTAAAAGTACAGTAAGCCCCAGACTATTAATTTAGCGAGGAACTAAATTTGGTGGAAAAGACATGTTCCTTGGTGGATGGCGTAGGATATTCTTAAGAGTAGATAACAATTACTTCTTCCCTCAATGGTAGTAGAACTCCTTTGTCTCAGCTTCGTGTCTTTTAGCATATATCTTCTCTTGGAGAATATCAAGTTTTTTAAAACTTATTTATTTATTAGAAATTTCCACCTCTTCCCCTCCTCCCATTTCCCTCCCACTCCCCCCACTCCGAGAATATCATTCTTACACACAATCTTGTTTTCCAACTTCTCTTGGAGTAAAAGTGTTTCCTCATCCTTTATATACACGGTTCTACCAAAAAAAAAATCTCTCTTGTTCTGGGCTAGAATTTCTGTTGGCTTGTCGTATATAGCCTAGGCCCCCATGTGAATACCTTTAAAAGACTGTTTTTATCAGCTTGAGACTATGAAGTTTAAAAGCATTCTTTTTTTTTTTTTTGTTAGCAGTGATGAGACTCATCTCTGTACTTTTGGGTAATGCAGACGGCTGTAGGAAGATAAAGGCTTCTTGTGGAGAAAGGCTGAAAACGTCAAAAACTTCTGAGATCTTAATACCCTTTCATTTCTGGAGCAGAAAGGCAGACTAGTAGAAAGTTTTGGCATTTTCTATTGCTGAGATGAGAAACCATGATCAAGGCAACTTATAAAAGAAAGCATTTAACAGGAGCTTGCTTACAGTTTCAAAGAGTGAGCTCATGGCCATCATGGCAGGGAGAAGGGCAGCAGACAGGTAGG